TCTCCACACTTTTGATTTCGTGTTTGTTTTGAAAAGTGTTTTAAAAATGTACCACTTGAAAAAATGATCTCATATGTACATTTGATCAAAACATTCCAATTTGAGCAATTAGCCTTCATCCACAGACATTCAAACAGGTACATCACTTAAGCATTTAGTCTCGTGGAAAACATGCTCGACATAGCAACAATCACACGCATGCGATATGCTAAAGCAATAAATGCTCACCTCGTACTCCGAGGCAAGCCAAACAAAACAAAAGAATTAGAAAACATGCATGCCCCTAGCTAATGCAACACATACAATATGCAATTTAAATAGGCTCGGTTACTAACATGGCATGTGAATCAATTTGACAACATGCAACTTAAGTACAGTTTCAAAGAAGAATTTTCATTGTGACATTGGTTAGTATGATGAGCTGAAACCTTATGTCTTCAAGACAAATGAATTCAAGTCATGGAAAATGGTAATTAAAACATGATGCTCTATGTTATCCATTACAAGTAAAATGGAGAAATAATGGGGGTTGGAAGACATACAAGCAATATTACAAGTGTGCCTTCGCGCAGGAGGGTCCGAATGAATGTTCTAGCTAAGCTAATTATTAAAAATTAACTAACTATTACAATACAAAAATAAATTAGCTACACTAAACTAATTAGTAAACAACTAACTAATTAGTTACAATACAAAATTTAATTATCTAAGTATTTAATTATTACAAGCATAATGCTAAACATAATTGGGCCCCGAGAAATAAGGAACGACTCATGCATAGATGCAGATTTTCACCCATAAATGTCCTATGTTTGGCTGCCAAAATACTTTTGTTTTGCAGTAGAAAATTTGCACTGTTTTGCCTCAGCCTCTGCTCTGTTTTGCAAGGGAAAAAAAAAGACACTGCCTGGCTGAAAAAGGTGGCCGACCGGCCAACAGAAGTGGTCAACCATATAGTAAGGTGGCCAGCCGACCACTAATGTTTGGTATTGCCCTGCTGCAACAGACACAAAATAGAGCACAAACAGAGTATTTTTAGGGAATGTTTGTCCACCCTACCTCTCATTATTATCAAACAAATCAAATGATGGGTAAACTTGATTCGCAAGCCATCAATCGACGCAAATTCATTGCATGATAACTTAAGAATCAAAGGATACAATCTCAATAAATGACAATGAAAGACTCATGAACCTCCTCCCTATCATGATATTGATCAAGGGAAGTGGTTGACATTGACTCTTGAACCGTTTTTATCACTAACAAGTATGAAACGACTCAAGACTCAATGGGTTCAATTAACGTCCGATTAAACCCCAAACCATTTTATTATCTTGTTACCTCTTAGTCCGATTTTATTACTTCTTTTTATTACCTTTCCATTCATTAAGCATTTTATTCCAATAATGAAGATTAAGTTCACTAATGGAGAGAAGTGTCAGGCAAGGGGTTATTTTGGGCATGAGAGAGATGTCATGTCTTAGGTAATGAACATCCAAAGAGATTAAACCATTAAGTACGAGGATCTCTATCTCAAACTTAAACAACAATCGGTTAAAACGACTCTCAAGGCAAATAAAAAAAGCCAAGAAAATAGGGAGAGTGCAGAGATGATTAGAGATGAATACAAGTATGAAAAGCACTAAATAAATGCTATCAACTCAAATAGATTGGTGTCTAATGCCTAAAACACCAAACCTATGAGGACTATTACACTACAAACATACTACACAAAGCATAAATGGAATGAACAACCTAAAACAGTCCTAAAATAGTCAGAAATAACACTGAAATTCACATGAAAATTTTTGAAAAATCTAGCTACAATTATGGAGAAATAGAACTAGTAAACAAGCACAAGGAAGGGTGGCTAACCCCTCCATTTTTGGGACTTCAGAACCACATTTCTAGCCTCTAAAAACCTTTCAAATTCAGTGGTAAAAAACTCAAAAAAAGTTAATGAAAATATGGGAAATATAAGGGCAAGAGCTTGGAATACAAGGTGCAAAGAAGAGTGGTCCACCTCTCTACCTTAGGTAGCTTTTAACCACAAGTTTTGGCCCATAAAAGCAGGTGAAAAATGATCCAAAAATAGCAAGTAAAGATGGTAAATGAATAAGGGAAAGAAGTTAGGAATTATACCTCTTAAAAAAGAGTAACACCTTGAATTATAAACCACCAATTTCTCACCCTGAAGAGCTAATATTCAAGCTCAATTACCTCAACAAAGAACCATTAAAATTTGGTTTAGGAGGTCTAGGTAAGGTATGTATAGGTTACAAGGTAGAGAGAGAGATATTTTTTCTAAGAATTTTTCTTCCTTAAAATTTTCTAATCTAATTTTATAAAAGGGGGTCAAGTATATGTAGAAAGTTATGCTAGGCTCTTGAAAATATCATTATAGAAATAGCTGGTGCAGTGCATGCACCAGTGGAGATAGCTGGCACAGTTGGCAAAAATATCTATTTTTACTGACACAAGTGGCTAGTCAGCCACTAAGGGGACGACTGTACACTCATTTGTGGCTAGCCGGCCACTAAGTGGCCTACAGGCCCCTGGGTGGTCAGGCTTGAAAAAAATTGTTTAGGTCCAAAAGTGGTGCAAGGTTTGTAGGCGTTTGAGGCTCAAAATCGAGGCTTTCTGCTGAGGAAATCGAGCATTTGACAAGTGTGAAACTTCATCATTGGGTGATCAATCGATGACGCCCAAGTCTTAAGGGCAGTAAAAAATAAGGTGTCTACAGCTCTATTCTTGAGACAATATCGATCAACGCCATCTCTCCAACGGCTTTTGATCGGGCACATCCCAGTTAATGCAACGCCGACTTCCTTTCGACTACCACCTACTATATTTGGTACCATCACGTCTTGACGTCACCTAGGACAGGAGCAGATATATGCGTATCTCTGGCCTTATCACTTGTGATCAGTCAGCACAGCGCTGAATCTCCAATATGTGCCCTAGTTAATGTCATGTACTCGGCATGATAACTGTGATGCATTCGGCACGATAAACGTGATAAATTTTGGCACTACAAAAATGGACTGGGACAGATATGTCTATACGGCTTTATCAACTGTCGTCAGTTAACACAACGCTGAATTGGAGCAAGAGCAGATATATGCGTATATTCTACCTTATCACTCATGATCAGTCAGCTCAACGCCAAATTGCCAATATGTACCCCACTTGAATAAACTAGCTCCTGCTTGATGTGATGTATTCAGCAAAACAACCTTGATGGATATGTCTATTTGGCTGTATCACTAATGGTTAGAACAATATTTAGCTAAGATATATACGTATATTCGGCTTTATCATTCGTGATTAGTCAGCGCAACGCCGAATTACCAATATGTACCCCACTTGAATAAACTAGAGCCTGCTTGATGTGATGTATTCGGCAAAACAACCTTGATGGATATGTCTATTCGGCTATATCACTAATGATCAATAGTATTTAAGATAAACTGACATGCCGACTTAAGATGCGAAATTGGTTTTTGTTTTTCCATATCAAACAGTTTATATTTCATTCATTCACATTCACATAAAATGCACTAAAATTCATGCACCAAAATAATTTATATTTGTTTTCATTCATAAGCTGATGGCTACGTACTTCTCACCTTACACATGAAAACGATCCCAATATATCACGTGAATATGAAGTTTTGAAGCATATACAACAAAAACAAAACCAAACGGCACAAAATGGTCCACACTTGCCGACTTCAGGGCTCCTCCGGATCTGACTCCAGCGGCTCCACCCCTTCCTATTCAAAAGGAATCGGTGTATCCAACACCACCTTTGCAGCCATCAAGGCTTTTAACCAGCCCTACTTGAACCCTCGATTTTTAAATTTTAGGGCTTCATCAGCATACTTCTTCATAGCCGCCATTTCCCCGGCGTCAAAAGCCTTGGTCGTCGCCGACCACGCCTCTTTCGCTGCCTTCTTCTCCACCTCAAGATTGGCCTTAAGTTGCTTTAGTTCTACCATTGTCGATGTCAGGGCAGCATCCATAGCATTAGCCCTCTCTTCGGCAACACGCCGTTGCAGGTCAATGTGCTTTGACTTCTCTTCCTCTGCCATGGGCTTGGCACGTTCGTCCTCTGCTCTCTTGGTTGCAACAGCCAGATCGGCAATAGCCGACTTGGCCCTATTCTTCTCGGCCTCAATTTCAACTTTAAGAAAGCCGATCAATTCCACGGCATCGTAGTGGCGCGGACCGATTTCAGTGATCCATTCAGCGGCCTAGGTCAAGAAATAAATAAGTCAATACTAGAAAATTTAGAAAATGCAACAACAATTCGCTAATCTTACCAAAATAGCCGATTGTGCCGCTAACGCAATGAAACGACATTCGGCTTTGCGCGGAACGCCGTTTTAACTAAGGGAAAGGTAATTGAAGAGGTCACGCTGAGAGCCACGGCTAGCTCTTTTATTACAGAAGCACCAGTTGAGATCAAGGCACCCTTCACCCTGGGCTGAATCATAAACAGCACATCAAGATTCTGAGCAGCCGATACCCTCAGTCTCTTTTCAAGTAATTCCTCTATTTCGACGGAATCCTCAGGCAAGTCGGTGGATCGCTTCTCACCCCTCTGTTTATCTATCATTTCCTCCAACGTTAACTCTTGCTGAGCCAACTCAGATGTAACGGATGCGCAATTCGGTTCCATTTTATCCACTTGGGTTTTTTTAGGTGGGGGGACTTGACTTCCCCCAGCACTTTTTGCCCTCTTAATCGCCACCAATCTTTCGGCATTTCACCTCTTGGGAAATTGAGCAAGTGATTCGCCAGCCATGTCTTCGACTTCAATTCCAATAGGTCTTCCAAGTCGATAAAGATGTCCTCTTCACGAGATCTTAATTCGACTCACTCGGACAAAGAGGGACTATAATCTCCACCCAAGTCACCTTGGTCAAAGGCTAATTCAACCTCCCTAACCACTTCCTGATAAGGGAATCCAATTTGGCTAAAGCGCTTAAGTCAGCTTAATCCACTTGACTTTCCTTAGCTCCTCGTTCAGTGTCTTCTCCATCCCGATCACCGTTTCTTTCAACGGCAGGTGAATCCCGCAATCCAATGTCCCTTGAATTGGAGAAACTAGGGAATATTGAGGCTGTTAAATATTGTTCGCCTCTGGGGATTGATATATGATCCGCCGTCGAAAATGTCTATTATATAGGATCGTATCTGAGTAAGATGTGTGCGGCACGTCCTTGCCCCTGAAGATTCGAACCACCAATGAATTCAAGGACAATCTTCACTTGTGCAAAGATGGCTTCGTCCGCCGAATTAAGTGATTGCTTGAGGTCGTTGCCTGCATAGGAATCAAATGATCAGCGAAAATCGAAAACCGAGAAAATGAGGATAAATTGTTAAGTAAAAAGCGAAGATAAATTGTCAAGCATGTAAATTCGGCCACCTGGCTCGCCCTTCCGCCTAGGCACTGGGTCCAGGCGATCTTTCCCCTCGCCGAATTCCCAGTTGCCTTGGACGGCAACCATAATGTTGTCAACCCTCTTGCCAGAGCTAGCAAGCATGGTCACCGAGTGATGGTCTATGTCCTTGGCTCTCAAGAAGGATCTCCCTTGTCGACCAGATAACTTAACGAGGACATAGCAATGCCGAATGGAAGGAATTCCTAAATTAAGTCTAAGTCGGCGGTTCAGTTCTATCACACCCATTATTATTCGAAAGAAGTTTACATTTGATTGAGAAAGAATCAAGCCCCAATACCGCAGAACGACCTTGAGAAAAAGATGAAGGGGAAAGCGAACCCCGCTTTCAGTAATCGACAACAAAAGGAAGATAATAGTGTTTTTATCTGCCTTTTCCATATCAACCACCTCGTCCCCAACGAGAGTCAATCGGACGTCATTAGGGATCGAGAACTGTCGACGAAAGGCAACGACTCAATCCTCAGAGAGGAGAGCTTTCAGGTGTTTCGCCATGATCACAAAATAAACAAAAGAACCAGAATACAAGCTAGAAGAAATAACGAAAAATTGGCGTAAAACTGTGAAAAAACAAAATAAAGGATGGAGCTTAGAAAGACTTACAAATTGGAATGAAAGGGACGAGCTACAAAGAGGACAAAGTGGTTGTATAGAGTCTTGAAGATAGAGAGTTGTAAGAGAGACTGAGGATGTAATCTGGCAAGAGAAACGAAAGGACGGAGGATTTTTCAAATCGCATTTAATGAATGAATAGTATGAATGGACGAGAAACTGTAATCACGTCACGTCGCCTCAGCTAATGTGCCAGCAATAAACAAGGAGTGTGCGCCATATTTTTGAATTTCGAGGCATTTTAAGTGACGGTTCAAGCCACATAAAGGATGTTTAAAGTGGCCTAGTATGCCGAGTGTTGGACATTCAATCAAAGTATGCCAAGTATTGGACATTTAATCAAATACTCGGGCAGCAATTGTGGGAGCCGAATTTCTCCGTTACAAGAATAATTTTTGATGGGCCGTCCAGCCGATCCAAAGTCAAGGCGGCCCATGTAAGGAAGTGGGCCATCTGTAAAATAAGGGTGAACCTAGCCCAGTAGAGGCCATTATAAAACAGAAATACTAGCTCAGTTGCAAGGGAGGAGAAAATAGATCTGAAAAGGATTGGGCTGGATTGGAGAAGTATTTTTCAAAATCCACTTCATCACATATTGTTATCCAAAAAAAAAATATTAACAAGTTGTTGTATTATGTTCAAAGTTTGTAAAAGTTTAAACGGCCAAATCGATTTGCATCCATCCGCCAATCCGGCGAACGGATACGGATTGATTTTTTTTCTAATCCGCCAATCAAGCGAACGAATGACAGATTGAAGGTTCTCCAACCGCAGCCGAACTGCAAGCACCTCTAATTCAAATGACATGATTAAGGAATTAAGCCTTATATGATTGAGTTTGTAACAAATAAATATTGACATGTAACCAACTATTGCTTTGTGTCTAAGAGTGAGAAGAAAAAAAGAAATAAAAAATGAGATTATGTATAGTTAGAAAAATTGAATACAACCATTATACTAATGACATGGTATCAACTCCAATCATTAATTGTTATTTTTTCCTAAAAAATGGGTTCATTCATCCCATATAAAGTTTTTATTGATTGATGATACCACAAGTCAATGATGACGTTGTATCATTGTTAGATTAAATTTTTACTCATGTATAGCATTGCTCAAATAAGAAAAACACAAGATATTTTGCACTTATAATGTTACACTTGCCTCATTTTTATATCATAAAAAAACTATTTTCTTTGATTTCAAAATTTTTAAAACCTTCTTACAAAGTTTTAAATTACTTTTCACTCTGATCCTAATATTAGACAATATCTCCCAAGAAGGGGGGGGAAAAAATTGAGAATAACGGTGACACCATTCTACGTGATATCACTGGCTAATAAAAATAGGTACATCAGATTAAGTGGACAATTTTTGTCTTCCACTAACTCAACAATATTGTAATTCTAATCACAAATCAAAAAAAAAATATAAAAAAATCAAAAAAATATAAAAAAAATTAAGTGATTTAGTAACAAGTCCTGAAAGCCCCTTAAGACCTATGAAAATAACTTCATTATAACTGAGACAGCGTATCAACAAGCAGACATAAACAATGTTTTATGTCTTCCCTTTGCAGCTTGGAGGATTCATTGATGCGTCATATGGCGTGTAAAGTAGCCATTCATGCATGCATGTGGATAAGGTTCTTACCTTTTCACTCTTCTATTTTAGCATCAAACAACTTTTTTTTTTTCATTTTCTCCATTGCGTTCACTTGTCCTTTATTAAAGATTTGCGTCACCCCACTACTCTTACAGGCATTCTTCTGCAAAAAAAAATAAAATAAAATAAAAGTATATGAAGAATTTTTGTTTATTAATTTTTTTTCCTCCCTTACTAATGACATGGTATCAACTCCAATCATTAATTGTTATTTTTTCCTAAAAAATGGGTTCATTCATCCCATATAAAGTTTTTATTGATTGATGATACCACAAGTCAATGATGACGTTGTATCATTGTTAGATTAAATTTTTACTCATGTATAGCATTGCTCAAATAAGAAAAACACAAGATATTTTGCACTTATAATGTTACACTTGCCTCATTTTTATATCATAAAAAAACTATTTTCTTTGATTTCAAAATTTTTAAAACCTTCTTACAAAGTTTTAAATTACTTTTCACTCTATCCTAATATTAGACAATATCTCCCAGAAGAGGGAAAAAAAAAATTGAGAATAACGGTGACACCATTCTACATGATATAACTGGCTAATAAAAATAGGTACATCAGATTAGGTGGACAACTTTTGTCTTAATCACAAATCAAAAAAAATATAAAAAAATAAAAAAAATATAAAAAATTAAGTGATTTAGTAACAAGTCCTGAAAGCCCCTTAAGACCTATGAAAATAACTTCATTATAACTGAGACAACGTATCAACAAGCAGACATAAACAATGTTTTATGTCTTCCCTTTGCAGCTTGGAGGATTCATTGATGCGTCATATGGCGTGTAAAGTAACCATTCATGCATGCATGTGGATAAGGTTCTTACCTTTTCACTCTTCTATTTTAGCATCAAACAACTTTTTTTTTTCATTTTCTCCATTGCATTCACTTGTCCTTTATTAAAGATTTGCGTCACCCCACTACTCTTACAGGCATTCTTCTGCAAAAATAAATAAATAAATAAAAGTATATGAAGAATTTTTGTTTATTAATTTTTTTTCCTCCCTTAACTTTTTTTTAAGGATAATAATATATGAAAAATATATAAAATAATTTAAATAAAACTGACAAAACAAATTTTCTATCAAAATGATGAAATACAGAATAAAATATACAACTAAAAATATAGAAATGAATTAAATTACATTACTAATAAACAAATTATTAATATTGATAACTAAATATAATAACTCATCTTTGTAAACTAAATATTTGAAAAAATAAGAACAAATGATAAAATAAAATAAAAAAGAGCAAACCGAAGCCTGCATTAGACAGTTTTCTTAAAAGAGATTCACCGCCTCTCGATGGATGCTGGAGGTACGCCGACGCCTGTCTCCCAGGATACAACGATTGAAATCAGCTAATGCAGAAGTACCTTCTGAATAGCTTTGACAAACTTGACAATGGTTGCACTCTCTCTAACAAGAATCAAAGAAGGGGCTAGCAAAAGAAGATATGAAAATTTTTCTTTGGTGGAAAAAGACATCTTCAACTTTTTATCTCAAAACACCATCTTCATTTTCCATCAAAAATCTCTCCAAAATTATCCTACTAAGTTGGAGGAAAAATACCTCTATTTATACAAGTAGGGGAATCCCTAACCATGAAAGCTATACATCAATAAGGCCATCAAATGCCATTAACCAAGGCCATCAACTCTAGCCATTAGGGCTAGAGTTACAAAGATTGAAAACCTATGGCCATGAATATGGTCATCAACTACAAAAATATAAGAGTTACAAAGGTCTAAACCTCCCATGTACTTAAAATATATAAATAAATATGTATATAATGATGGTCGAATAAACTAACTAGATGGGTCACAAAATAAATATTAATGTTGGGTCACAACCCAATTCAAACACAATTCTCAAACACATGCACAAGTTAAGCCCAACACAACATAGCTTAGCCAAAGCTCAAAATTAAGTCAAAGTTCAAGTTCAAACCCAACATATGCACAAGCACAAACCTAGCTCCAGTTCAAATTAAGACTAAGTCGAAATCTGAACCCAACTTTATTGATACCCAACTTTATTGATGCCTACTTTATGAAACAATTCTCATTTACAATTTAATGATTTCGGTTCATTATTTTTGTATTGCAATCTTCTAACTTAAGAGCATACAAAACTACTCTAATCCACCTTAATCACTAGTTGGATCCCACTTTAATTTCGAATTAAAATTGTCAAAAAATTATTATTTTTTAATAAAAATGTCCAAAAAGTTTAGAATAAAATTGGGAACAATAGTCATATATATAACCGTAACCGAATAGGTTTTTTTTTTTTTTTCAAAAAATAAAAAATAAAAAAGATACAATACTTGCAGCACCGTATTTATTTTTAAATTGGGTCCACTCAAAAAAAATGTGAACAGAATGAGGTTTTTAAAAAAGATACAATCCTTGCAGCACTGTAGCGAGAGCAATTACAAAAGGAAGGTCAAAGGACAGGAATCTGAGGTGGAAGTTAACATGGAGGGATCAAAGTGACGTGGAATGGCTTAAGTTTGTCTCATCAAGATAATAAGATGTATGGTGGGCGAAAGGTGTCTTTTATCTACTTGTTTTTAATATGTTATTTTAACATGTATTATTTATTTATTAGAGCAGTTAATGGCATACTAAATCTTTCTTTATGGAGTAATTATTTTAGTTAAAAAATTAAAAAAATATTATTAATTGTCACATCACTTTTTTTTATTTTTTTTATAAAAAATTAAAAAATTATTAAAATAACATATTTTCACACCAATCCTAAGATCGTTTATAAACTCAATGTACTAATTTGACTAGAATAACACTGCATTTAATAAGGCAAAGAACTCTAAGACGTGATCGAGCCGCCCATCATGCTAAAAGTTTAGACAGTTAGTAACTCAGTGTACTAATTTGACTAGAACAACACTGCATTTAATAAGGCAAAGAACTCTAAGACGTGATCAAGCCGCCCATCATGGTAAAAGTTTATACAGTTAGTCAGTTGGGAGTTTGGTGTGGTCACAGTTTTTTTTTTAAAAAAATCTTATGGAGTGGTCAAATGTTCAAGTTTTATCATTATTATAAGGATTGGCATCAGGCCAAATTGGCCTTGCAAAATGGTCCCCAAGCTTGTCTAGCCCCATTTTTTTCATGATCTAACAAGCACATGAGTCAAAATCTTAGACCTAAATTGAATTCTATATTTTTAATTTTTGTTTTATTTATTTTTAATGTTTTAGGATGGGCTCGTGGGAGAAGTTGACTCTCAACCAACAGGTAGGCCAAGCTTCAAAGTAGGCCCAACCCAAGTCTCATTTAGGCCAGGCCAACTAGTCTCGAATACGGGCTCCAACTCGGTAAAAATTAGCAAGAATGAACAAGCGTAGGGTAAATTACAGACCTTCAGGTAAAATGATAACCCTTTATCATAAGCAAGACTTCATCCTCCCTAACTACGTATCCAAAGTAACAAAAATAAAAAATAAAAAGAATACTTCACACAAGAAAATAGTTATGAGAGAAATGATGAAGATGAAGATACCAAATGAGAAATGATAAAGGTGAAGTTAAGTTGGAAAGAGAAGGCATATGATTGTGTGATTTTCTTGGTGCCAACTTAGTTGGAATTAGATAGCTCCACCTTGATATCTTTTGCTCTTGCCCTCTCTCCTTTATTGATTGATGTAGTTTCATATGTTTTATATGTGGTTTTCATGAATAGAAGTTTTTTTTACTGATAATAAAAGAAAAAAAGTTGAGTTGAAAAGTGAAGGCTCTGATGAGTGTGAAATATACCCAACCCAACTATTGGCCTATAATTCATATCAAAGGTGAGAGTTATATTCAACTCTCAGCCCAATAAAACACCTCCATTGAAACTTATTAATCAAACCCTACTATTTCATGCATTGTTGTCTCCACATCATTCACACATGGCAAAGACTGTTAACAACACACATGCATTACTCAGACAATGGCAAGTTAATTTTGACTTCCTTTCTTGTTACTCTCTGATGTTTTAAAGCCATCGTGTTTGAATAAATTTAGCAAAGCATAGGACTTTTTAAGGTATACTTTCGGTATCTATGAAATTAAACGACAAAGACATGCACGAAATTAATGCATATGCGAGTCCAATTAGATTATTTTAATTTCCTAGCTTGCCAAACTTTATTAAATTATTTTACTAATTTTAATATAATACGGGATATGTGTTTATATATATGTTAAATGATAAACAAATTTAAAAACTTGACAG